TGGCTCTGCCTCCTGAGTGCTGGGATTAAAGGCGTGCGCCACCACTGCCCAGCTAATTTTGGTTTTTCAAGGCAGGGTTTCTTTGTGTAGCCCTGACTATTCTGGAACTCACTCTGTAGACCAGGCTGACTTTGAACTCAGAGATCTGCCTGCTTCTGCATCCTGAGTTCTGGGATTAAAGGTATATGACACCACCAGCAGGCTTCCTCTTAAAAAAAAAAAAAAAAGAAAAAAGAAAAAGATTTATTTATTGATGTGTACATGTGAGTGCCTGCGTTTGCCTATGTACGCATGTGCACGAGTTGCCTGTCTGGTGCTCTCAGAAGAAGGCCTGGTATCCCTGGAATGGAGTTACAGGCAGTTGTGTGTGTGCTGCCTGATGCAGGTGCTGAGAACCAGGCCTGAGTCCTCTGGAAGGGCAGCAGGTGCTCTTGACTGGTGGGCCTCCTCGCAGCTACCTTTCCTCAGGAGGGCCCCTACCTGCCTGCGTGGAAAACCACTGCCAGCTCTGCTGCACGTTGCTTTAACCGGCTGCACTAGGGTGTGATTTGCATTCAGTAACAAGTGTTCATCTTGGCTGCAATTGGACACGTTTTAACAAATACGCAGGGCTGGAGAGAAGGCTCAGCAGGGAAGAGCGCTGGCTGCTCTTCCAGAGGACCTGGGTTCGATTCCCAGCACCCAGAGGCAGCTCACAACCATCTCTAACTTTCTAGTTCTAAGAAATGCTACGTCCTCCTCTGGTCCTCTTGGTGCACAGACATGCATGCAGGCAAAACACCCATACACATAAAATAATAAGTTTTCAAATAAGCCAATACACTTGAGGAAACACCACCACCATCATGATGGGCCGTTCGAAGCATCCTCAGAAGAACACCGTGTCCCAGCCCCGACCCGGGAGGACTACCTTGCTTGGCCTCCTTCTTTGACGTTCATATATGTGTGCACTGGAGCCCTCAGGCCAGAAGACAGCATCGAGTCCTCCTGAGCCGGAGTTACAGGTGATGACAGGCCACCCAGCATGGGTGCGTGGGTGCCGGAAACTGAACTAAGGTCCTCTGGAAGAGCAGACCTTCTCACTGTTGAAAAATAATAATAATAATAATAATAACTTATTACCAGCACAGTATTATTAATTTCATGTGAAGATAACAATTTCTGGGTTCTTTGGTTTGGAAATGAGTAATAC